CGTCGTCGTCAGTCCTCCAGGGATTGGGGAGGGGTTTGGTAGAGTGCTCGAGGCGCGCTGCCAGTGTGATGAGGTACCGAAAGCGGAGGACCGCGTCGGCGGGGGTGAACACTGTGTTGCCGAACTTGGCAGTGCAGCGCAGCGTCCAGAGAGTCCAACGGGCAGTGTGCATGACGATGGTGAGACAAGCGAGTGCTTCGTCTTTCATCAAGGCGTGGTAGCGTTTGTTCTTGATAGGGCCAAAGAGCCATTGCGAACGCTGTCTAGGGAACCATGGGCCTTGCGCGTGGCTGAACAGCGTTTCGGCCTCGCGCCAGACCGCCACAGCCAGGGGGCAGTGGACAATCATGTGCAGCCAGTTTTCGAGAGGGGCACGGGTGCCATGAAGTCGGAAGCAGTGGGCGCAGGCGAACGCGCCACTGTGTGACTCCTCGCGGAGTTGTTCGTTGGTGAGCTTGTCGCGGCGAGACAGCAGACGAATCTCACCCAGGTACTCGGTGTTGTGGGCGATGCGCCAGATGAGGCCGGCACGGTTGCGCGGGACAAGATTGGTCATCATGTTGCGGCGCAGTTTGGACCAGTGCACGGGTCCTAGGATTTGCTCCCACTCGACCAGGGCAGTTGGTTTGACCGGGGCGGGCGTGAGCATGTGGCGAAGATTGCGCAGCGATGCGTCAGATGAGGTGCATCGCACAATGTGCACGCGCTTTTTGCACTCCTCGATGTGTTTGGGGTAGAGTGCCAGCCAGTAGCGGGCATTCTCAATTTCAGAGGGATGGCGGCTTTCGAGCATCGTCCTCCTGGAGCGATTTGCGGTGCGGCGAAGGTCGTCTAGGTCTTTGTCGATGCAGAGCGAGCGATACATGTTCTCGGGAGCGCCACGCAGCTGCAGCCGGGATGGGTCAACGTCGAGACGCATAAGAGAGCCAAAGAAGAATCCTTCGACCTCAGGGCGTTTTGGTGGAGGATAGGCTTCAGCGAGCTGCATCAGCAGGTCGCTTTTCTTGGTGTGGGGCTTGGCAGACGGAGAGGTCCAATCCGAGACCACTGCTGGGGTGAGTTCAGCTAGCGGGAGCCTGGCTGAGAGGATGTGCTTGGGCACCACAACCTGACCGTGGAGGCGGAACACGTAGGGCTTCACGCGCACGGACAAGGCGTCGGCGGCCGGTGTTTCCAAGATTCTGCGGAGGAAGCCCCACGAGTCAACAACCCAATCGTTCTCGCGGAAGCGCACAGGGGCGATCCGCAGATTGGACGGGTCGATGTGCGAGACTTTGGAGCGGATCACTTGGAGTCTGGCTTCGACCTGTGGCAGACGGGAGTCGCAGAACTCGCGGAGATCGCGGGCCGACTGCCATTTCTTGCCAGAGTGGAGATGATGGAGGTACGAGATGCCGTGTTTCCGAAGCATCCTGAAGTCGATCATGTCAAGCATGGGGTTGCGCCAGAGGGGAGTGGCGAGGAGTTCGTTCTTCGAGCGAGGAGGCTCAGAGAAAGGGAGCAGCCTGCGCCACGCCCTGAAGGCATGGTGCCAGAACACCGAGAGCGAAAGTCTGAACGGGAATTTGGCGACTAGCCGCTGCATGGCCGTGTACTCGGCGACAGGATAGTCGGAGAGCCGAGCTGGTCTGTCAGCCACTTCGGCGAGGTGGTTGACAACCAACTTCCAGAAACTGGGGACAGGCGACAGGAAGTTGATTAGTGCTTGGGCAGCCGTCGCTGCAATGTTGGTGGGGAGATCGATGAGTCCAAGCCCAAACATGATCGTTTTGGGAGGAGCGGTCGCAACCTTCCTGGTGACCGGGGAGAATCGGCCTTTCCAGAGATACTTGTTGACAGTGTCGGACAGTGCCTTGGAGTACTTGTTGGGCATGTGGATAAAGCGACAGTGGTACCAGACGCGGGAGAGTCCGATCGCGTTGAAGTTGGCTTTGGCAAGATCGCCGTAGCCAAGTTGCACGCCAAGGACTCGAGTGGTGCCGTCAGGAGGCACCCATTGGAGATGAGCCAAGCCGTCCGGCGGATCGGCATCCCGAAGGGGGCCGAGACGCAGGACGGAGGTTTTGGCCTCGTTGATCTTGAGGTTGGTAGCCCTGCCAACAGTCGCATAGACTTCAAACAGGGCATGGATGTGGTTGGGATCCGACAGGAAGATTGA